GGGAGACCTAGTTTTGATCCCTGGGTTGGGAAGATCCCTTGGAGGAGGGCATGGCAACCCACTCCAGTATTCTTGCCTGGAGAATCCCCATGGACAGTGGAGCCTGGTGGGCTACAGTCCATGGGGTCACAAAGAGTTGGACATGACTGAGTGACTAGGCACACAGCACACATAACATGTGTCAGTACTTGATTCCTTTTTGTGGCCAAACAGTATTCCTTTGTTTGTAATATAGGTAAGACACATTTTGTCTTTCTGTTCGTCTGTTAATATTTTGTTTTTCTTTCCTCTTTTGGCTTTTACAATTAATACTGCTGTGAACATTCACATGCACATTTTTGTGCAAACATATGTTTTCAGTTCTTGCAGGCATATATACTGAAAGTGGAATTGCTAGGTCATATGGTAGGTTAGTCTATATTTGACTTTTTGAGGACCTTATTTACTCCTTTTTTAATAGAGTTCTTATTCTGGAATAATTTTAGATTTACAGAGCGATTACAAAGATAGTAAATTTCCTGTATAACTACCACTCATCTTCCATATTAATGTTGCATAGACGTAAAATGTATTTCAAAGCAAAGATGCCAACACTGATACATTATTAAGTAAATTCATGATTTTACTTGAACTTCACCAGTTTTTTCACTAACGTGTTTTTTTTTTTTTGATTCCAAGATACCACAGTGTCGTGTCTCCTTAGATTCCTCTGTTCTAGGACAGTTTCTCTGTTTTTTTCATGTTCTTGACAGTTTTGAGAAGTATTGATTAGGAATTTTGTAGTGTATCTTTTAATTTGTGTTTATCTGACTTTTTCCCCCCCATGATTAGACTGAAGTTACGGGTTTGGGGAGAATACCAGAGGTGAATTGTGCTCCCCATCACATTAGCTCAGGAGATGAGTGATGTCCTTGTGAGTTATCACTGGTGATCTTAACCTTGATCCCATGGTTAATGCCACATTTTTCTGCTGTGTTATTTTCTCCTTTCCACACTCTATTCTTTGGAAATGAGTCACTAAGTCTAGCCTGCACTTAGGTGGAGCAGGAGGTTAGGTTCTAACTCCTAGAAGGGAATGTATCTATATATATATGTTACTTGGAATTCTTTTGTAAGGGAGATTTGCCCCTCCCCCATCTTATTTATGTATTCAGGTTTTTGTGTCTATATGAATGATGTATATTGATTTTATACTTTGGATTATAATCTCATATTAGCTTATAGATTTTATTGCACCAAACATTCCAGTATTCTAGTATTCGGGAAACTCTTTCTTATGCCCCTTTGACATGCCCTCATCCTTTATAAGTACTTCCTTATCTTTTGATAGTATAAGATACAGTAGACTCATCTTGTATAATATTTTCCCTGTCTAGGCCTAGAACCAGCCGTTTCTCCAAGAAACTCTGAAGCACAGCTTAGACCTAAGGTCACATGCTTAAGTAAAAGGTGGAACTAGGATTCCAACCAAACCAATCGGATTCCACACTTATGCTCATAACCATAAAACCAGACAGCATGCAGCTGAAGGTGCACTGTCAGTTTTTAGTCATGTTCCATTTATGAGCCAGTCTTTTTTTTTTTTTTTTTTCATTTTAACAGTTTTTAATGAAAGCTGTAGACAAGATAACTTTATTCCTGCATCTTCTCAATTGTTTCTTCCTTATATTTGCCCTTTTCCTTTCCTACTTGGCGAGATTTGGCTTTACGTTCGAGGATCTTTTTGCGGTCTTTGTCCAGTTTTAGTCTGGTGATAACCACCTTGCTGGGGTGAATGCCCACATGGACAGTTGTGCCATTAGCCTTCTCCCGCTGCACTCGTTCAATGTAGATGACGTATTTCTTCCTGTAAACCTGGACCACTTTGCCAATTTGCTGCCCTTTGTAGTGCCCTCGTACAACCTGAACTTCATCGTCCTTTCGGATGGGCATGGATCGAACGTTGTACTTCTGTCTCAGCTCTTTAGAAAGAGGAGAAGACATAATTTTCCTGCGAATGTGGGAAGGCGCATTGAAATGCCTTTTTCGATTCTTGCTTCGGTCAGAAGTCACAAAGGGATTGAACTTCATTTTGGCCGCCGGCACTTCAGTGATGGCCACAGAAGGGAAGAGATCTGCAGGCTGCTCGAGCCAGTCTTAAGGATAGAAGTTGTAGTCAGTTTACAGTTAGTAATTATTGTGCTCAGTTTTATACTGATCCTTTTTTAACCACAGCTATGATGATTATAACACTTCCCTGGTGGCTCAGACGGTAAAGCGTCTGCCTACAATGTGAGGGACCTGGGTTCGATCCCTGGGTAGGGAAGATCCTCTGGAGAAGGAAGTGGCAACCCACTCCAGTACTCTTGCCTGGAAAATCCCATGGGAGGAGCCTGGTAGGCTACAGTCCATGGGGTCACAAAGAGTCAGACATGACTGAGCGACTTCACTTTGATGATGATGATAATCAAGTTTGAAAACTACTTCTTAATCACAGATGGCCACTGTTAATGTTTTGGTGCATTTTCTTCTATAAATGCATGCAGCTGGATTTTGGAGTTTTGTTATATTATCCTGAGTTTTAAATTTAACTTGTGTAAGCAGGAGCAATTCACAGTGTAATCACAATCTCAGTGTGCAGTTCCCATGTTGTAACTAGTTATTAAGATAAAAGCGAGCTTGTTGTTGTTCAGTCGCCAAGTTATGTCCGATTCTTCACGACCCCATGGACCACAGCATGCCAGGCTTCCCTGTCCCTCACCATCTCCCGGAGTTTGCCTAAGTTCATGTGCATTGAGTTGGTGATGCCATCCAGCCATCTCATCCTCTGTAGTCCCCTTCTCCTACCCTCAATCTTTCCCAACATCAGGGTCTTTCCCAGTGAGTCACCTGTTTGCATCAGGTGGCCAAAGTATTGGAGCATCAGCTTCAGCATCAGTACTTCCAATGAATATTTGGGGTTGATTTCCTTTAAGATTGGCTGGTTTGACCAATACAGTATACTAACGCATATATATGGAATTTAGAAAGATGATGATGACCCTATATGCGAGACAGCAAAAGAGACACAGATGTAAAGGACAGTCTTCTGGAATCTGTGGGAGAAGGCGAGGGTGGGATGATTTGAGAGGGTAGCATTGAAACGTGTATATTATCATATGTGAAGTGGATTGCTGTTCCAGGTTCGATGCATGAGACAGGGTGCTCAGGGCTGGTGCACTGGGATGACCCTAGGGCATGGGATGGGGAGGGAGCGGGGAGGGGGGTTCAGGATGGGAAACACATGTGCACCCGTGGCTGATTCATGTCAGTGTATAGCAAAAGCCACTACAATGTTGTAAAGTAATTAGCCTCCAATTAAATAAATAAATTAAAAAGAAAAAAAAAAGATTGGCTAGTTTGATCTCCTTGCTTTCCAAGGTATTCGTAAGAGTCTTTTCCAGCACTACAGTTCGAAAACATCAATTCTTCAACACTCTGCCTTTTTTTGTATAAAAAGGCAAAAAAAAATGAGCTGCTCTAGGATTAGCCTGTTTTGTCTTAATGTTTGGTCACGTCAAAGCTGAACATCTGTCTTGGTTTATCAATTCATCAAGTAATCCACAGGATGTGACTTGTTTGGTTCGGAAGAATCATCTGACTGTATGTTATCTTCACTGCCTTCTTAGATAGCAAGCACCCTCATTTCTCTGATCATCAGTAGCTGAATTTCACTTCAGCCAGTCTTTCTCCTTTCTCCAGCTGGTTACCTCCAGAAATGTTTATTTTCCCCTTTTACCTTCTTTCTCTTTTGTAGGCTGAAAAATAACTGTTACATGACATATAAATTATACAGTAGTGCTTTGACCTACTCCTGTCAAGGAAAACAAAAGCTGTAAAATTTGAAGTGGAATTAGGTATAATTCTTCATCCCTCAATTCTTCTCAAATTATATCTACTTTTCTTCACCTACTAGCATTTTAGACTAAATAAAAATTTTTTTAAATTATTTTTAATTTTATCTAAAACCAGTTGCATTCTTCTCATTGTATATATACAAAATTTTGTTGGCTTACATGTATCAAGTAGTGTTATTTTCAAATTAGGATCTAATTGCCAATTAAAATCTTATTTAGGAGGATATTGTATTATTTCTTAGCTCTACAGTTTGGTATCAGAACTCATAAGTTAGGCATCCCCTCTCTTTTACTGCTGACCTTAAATGTGTGTAATTAATCTACTTTTTTAAAAAAACAAAATAGATGTGTATAAGTATATGTAAACAAAGTTGACATTTCCACTTTATTAGCCATGTGGATAAGGAGAATAACTGGACCTACTGGACAGGGCATCATAGGATGACAGAACCTTGGGGTTTGGCCAAACTCTGGATTTACTTTTGTCAGTATTTCCTGACTTGCAGAGGCCTAACGTATGTAGTTAGATGTTCACAAATTTTCAGAGAAACGACATACGGTACCAGTGGCGTGTTCTGGTGCTTTACCAAAGTCTCTATGGGGGTTAAATTGTAATCACAAGGCTAGTGAACATGAATCAGATTTGGAGGCTATTGGTTGGTATTTATTAATTAATAGCAAGCATTCTGTCTGCTTTGGAAGTGAACCTGTCAGAGACATATATCCTATTATTGCCTGGTCAGGACATAGTCTTCTTGGAATCTTTTTTTTTAAGACTCCATGTTATCTGTCTGTTCATTGGAACACTTAGCCCTTACTATTCAGTTGGTATTCTCTGCTATGTCAGTGTCATCATGCTTTCCAAAAATTATCTTAGTCCTATTTTTAACAGGATATGACTTTTCAAAGATTCTCTTAGCTCCCTGTTTACCAACTTTGTTACGGGAGATTGCCTGATTGCAGCCAATTTCATCTCTTGTTTTACACCTTTAAATGAATAACTTTTTTAAATTAGAAACTGAGGAGGGGATTATTACTGTCTTGTGCTTGTCTGTTCTATTTTTTACCTTGTTGTTAACTGTATTTTTTGCCTGTCTGTTTCAGGCCATATCATAATTCTGAATCATGTCTGATAACGGAGAACTGGAAGACAAGCCTCCGGCACCCCCAGTGCGAATGAGCAGTACCATTTTTAGCACTGGAGGCAAAGACCCTCTATCAGCCAATCACAGTTTGAAACCTTTGCCTTCCGTTCCAGAGGAGAAAAAGCCCAGGAATAAAATCATCTCTATATTTTCAAGCACGGAGAAAGGTAAATAGCTACTGTGGTTTCAAGAGTCTCCTTACTGTGTTTTGGTTTTGATGTTTCTTTAATTAAGTATAATAAGCTGATGTCTTTTATGGTGCAAACGATAAACATACAATTGATGCAAGTAAATGGGCACCATTAGGAAGGCTAGTTTGGGACTTCCCTGGAGGTCCAGTGGTTAGGACTGTGCACTTTCACTGCTGAGGGCCAAGTTCACATGGTTGGGGAACTGAGATTCTCCAAGCTGCGCTGTGCACTCAAAAAAAGAAAGAAAGACTAGTTTGTTTTAAACTGTAATAGAAAAGAATAAAACAAAAGTTGTTGCTCACCCTGCTTGTTAGGTCCAGTGAATTTCTGTTCTCCTCTTCATTTTCTAAGACTTGTACCATAGTTCATGTCTCCCCAGCTTTAATGCAAATCATGATATTTAAGAAAGACTTAATAGAAGAATGGAAGTATAGAGTCTATAGTCTCCTGTCTGCAATCTCAGGCGTTAGCTTTGGTTTGGAATTAAAGTTTTTCTGAGTTTTTAGTAGTACCGATAATGTCTTTTTATCATGTATTCTATAACACCCTCAGATTCTTCTGAAGCAACATTCAGTAATCAACATACTAATGTATCTTCCATAAACAAGAATTTAGTCCAGTGTTTCTCTTCCTCAGTAAGGTTGACATTTGGGAGCAAAATAATGCTTTGTTGCAGGGGTCTGCCTCGTGCACTGTAGAATGTTAAGCACCATTCCTAACTTTCATGTGTTAGATGTTAGAAGTAGCACCTCCTACCCAGTAGTAAAAACTGAAAATTTCTCCAAACATTGCCAGATTCCCCTTTGGGGCAAAGTTGTCTCCAGTTGAGAACCACTGGTCTAGTCATGCAAAATAGGATAAAGACCGTAAATTGTCTACATAAGTTGAATTCACTAAATTTGTTTTGGTGTCAAACTAAGGAAATAGCTTCTGGTTTTCAGAGCTTTATGGATTTTAGAATTTGGAGAGGGGGGCTTCCCAGGTGATGCTAGGTGGTAAAGGGTGGCTTCCCAGGTGGTAAAGAACCCACTGGCCAATGCAGGAGACGTAAGAGACATGGGTTTGATCCTTGGGTCATGAAGATCCCCTGGATAAGGGCACAGCAACCTACTCTAGTATTCTTGCCTGGAGAATCCCATGGATGGCGGAGCTTGGCAGGCTGCAGTCCATGGGGTCACACAGAGTTGGACACAACTGAAGCGACTTAGCATGCATGCAGGGGATTATGAACTGGTAATGGATTTTAGAATAAAGATTAGAAATTATTATACTGAGCATGGCATGTATGACACTGACAGCTAGTAAAGTGGACATAAAGATATTTTTCCACTTGTATGTGTAAGTTTACATGGAGAGGTAAAACAGTGCTTTGTGTATAATAATAAATATATTTAATTTGAGTTGAAAATACATAATCAGTGAAAATTTGAATGAGGTGATATAGTTAATATGGAATCAAGTCTCTAAGAATTTAGAGAATCTAAGAATTCTCTAAGAATTTAGATATGCAGGCAGGATATAATCATTGAACAGTTGAAAAACTTCATTTTAATGTATATCTCTAAATTTCCTCTTATTTTTAAGATTTCATGGGTGTTTGTAACTGAAAAGCCTCATTGAAAGTGTGTTTTTAAAATTAATTTAGCAAAAGTGGTAGCATGTATATTTGGCATGTTTGAGAATGAAATATGTACATGCTTAGACTGAGTGAAGTGAAAGTTAAACAGGGAAATTGGGAAATGAACCAAAAAGGAAGCATGAGAAGAGGCAGTGTAAACACAGTATTTATAATTAAAGAGGTTAGAAAAAAAATGTATGGAGGTTAGTACCACAAGTAATTGCTCAGAGAGTGGAAATTACTTGCCTGTGGAAAGCAGAATTCAAAATTGGGGTAGGAGAATGCTCACAATAGGTTAAAAGGTACTTGGGGACAGCCTTGGAAAGAGGAAGAGTACAGAATGAGCAAGAAAGTGTGGACAGTCCAGCATTTTGGGTAAATGGTAGCGTGGTAGGGCTTGTGAGCAAATTGAACATACATTTACATAAATGCAACAGAGCATTTCATCAAAAACCATTGAAGCAGTCTTCATGAGTTCACCTGAACATCAGTTTTGGTTTTGCTTTTAACTTTTTTAATACCTCATATTTCTAATGTGCAACCCACTGCAATACTGGGTTATGAAATATATATAGTGAATGACACTAAGTGAAATGGAGTATAAATGGAGTTATTACAAAAGTTGCATGAAACTTTTCAGTTGTGTGTTCATTGAGTCAGGATGTAAAATGTATTGGTGTGGGTCCTGGCCAAAGATTTAAAGGTGGCTCTGAGGTATATCCGACTCAATGGACATGAGTTTGAGTAAACTCCGGGAGTTGGTGATGGACAGGGAGGCATGGTGTGCTGCAGTCCATGGGCAACTGAACTGAACTGAACTGAGGTATGTATTCAATACTTAGAAGTAAAATTGCTAGGTTAAAGGATATGTGTTCCTGTGTTTGACTTAATTATGTTTAACAGATTATTTTCTAAAGTTTTGTTTTTTTTTTAAATGTTCTTTCTCACTCACAGAACACATATGTTCCATTGTTGAACATCCTTGCAGATTCTTGTATTACGGGATTTAATTTTTGCCATTTTGGGAGGTGTGCAGTGGTATCTCATTGTGGTTTTAATCTGGATTTCCCTGATGACTTAGGAAATTGTCTTTCATATGTTAATTTACTACTCATTTGTGTTTTCTGTGACATACCTTTTAGTCCAGATTTCTATTGTTTTTGTTAAACATTCATTATAGTCTGTATACTAACCTTTCATCAACTATGTGTTACTAAATATAGTTTTCCAGGTTGCAAACTGCCTTTTCACCCTTTCAGTGGTATCTTACGATGAATATAGATTATTAATTTTGGTGTAGTTAAATCGATCAATTCATTTTTAAACTTTGTGTTTTAAGAAATTTTTGCCATACTAGAAGTGATATTTTCTTAGGTTTTTCTAAAAGTTTTACAGTTTAAACCTTTGAACTACCTAGATTTGATTTTTGTGTACCTGTAAAGGGAGATCTATTTTCACTTTATTTTTTTTTTAACCCAGTGTCCCAGATCATTTATTGAAATTTTTATCGTTTCCACACTGACCTTCAATATTAACCATTATCTGTCAGCTTTCCATGACAGGATCTGTTTCTGTGTTTTCTTCTGTTTATTGAATTGACTCATTTGTCTGTACCTGCACTAATACCATATTGCCTTAATCGTTACAGTTTATAATTCTTAATACCTTATAGAGCAAATGTGGTACCAGGTGGTTCTTCAGGATCTTTTGACTCTTCTGTATAAATTTTACACTTTGCTTATCATGTACTTTAAAAAAAAAAACCTGTTGATGCTTGGATTGGAATTGCCTTGAATTTGTAAAGCAAGTTGGTGAGAATTGCTTTCAACTTTGTAGTTGAGAGTAGAACATCTAGAGTCCCTGGTATGTAGCCCATTTACAGGGAGATATTTAGGAGTGCGTAATTTTCAGTTAGACTGAGAGAAAAAAAAGAGGAAATGTTTGGGGGGTAGGGTGCTCTTTGATTCCTCCTACTCTTGGGGCTCTTCTCCCTTTCCAACTCAGCCTCCCAGGAAGCTAACACCTCTGGCAGGGCCTTGAGGGATTGGAATGAGAATTAGGAATGTAGATGTGTATGCACTTTCATGCTTGTGTGAATACAGAAATCTATCTGCACTTGCATTCTCCTGCCTGCAACCTGAACTGCTGTTTGTTTCTCTCTCTAGTTTTATGCTAATTGCTTTTCATCTTTGGGCATTCCTTGCAGATTTTGTTCCGTGATGAACATGGTGTAGGAGGGGAGAGCTACAATATATGCTTGGTCTATCATATTGAAACAGAAGGATAAAAGGGAAAAAAACTGTTTTTATTTTAAAAAATTACAGTGACCTTAAGATCTTTGCCAGCTCTAATATAAAGCCTGATCTAGAGATACTAATTTTATTTTACTCATATTTCCATCCCTTATTGTTGTCCTTACTAAACAGACAGGTAATATTTTTATTTAAAAAAGACTCTAGAGTATCTTCAATTATTCATTATTGGTTTTAATCAGTGTCACTGCAAAAATAAAGAAAATTAGAAATTATGCCTTTTATATAGCAACTTGACTGAATAAATCTTTTTTTCACATCCCTGCTAATTTTGTATCTTATGCACTTTGTGAGTTAGCAGAGACTCCTTGATAAGCAAGGCAGATGGTGTCCCTGCCATGATGGCACTCATAAAAAACTACAACATACAATTACAAACTGTGGAAAGTGATAATCGGGATAGAATAAAATGTCATTTCTGGCAAGGCTTCCTAAAGAAGTGATGTTACAGCTGATGACTAAAGGATAAGTAAGTGAAAATAGGAGAATTTGGGTAATTAAAAACTGTGTCTTATGCTTAGAAAAGCATTTCAGTGGCCCAGGTACAGGGGAGATCATAGCACATTTGTGGAGCTGAATACAGGCAAATGTGATTTGAAAGCAGAGAAGATAATAGCATGATGTAGGTTGGAAACTCAGATAGCAGAAGAGGCTAAAGAGGTAAGCAGGGAGCAGGTCATAAAGGGCCTTGTATTCCATGCTACAGAGCTCACATTTTACCCTTTTTCCTGGGGAACCATTACAGAATTTTAAACAGGAGAAAGATCTGGTCACATTTCTGTCTTACATAGGCAAGACTAGTAGCATCTAGAAAATAGATTTTGTTGGAGGTCTAAGACTGAAGTTGGAGACTAGTTAGGAGGCTTTTGCAGTAGTCCAGGTGAGAAATGGGCTTAACAAGTTGAGTAGTTTTGATAATGAAAATGGCAGTAAGCATCGTCTTTGCTTATCTTTAAAAACTCTATTCAGTTAGCTAGTGTTGAGTGGTATGTGTGTTTATAAACTAAAGCAGTTTTCATGTCTAATTATTCAACCTATATGCACTT